CCAACTGCAGGAGCTCAGGCCTTCCTTATGGATGGTTAAAGAGGATGGGCCACGACCCTCCATGCTGGCCCAATGTGGATTGGAGGATATTAACGACTGCAAATACAACCGGGACCAATCGCTTTACGTGCTTTCCGAAGCTTGGAGTTGCTTGAGATAATATTTTTTGGTCATCCATCCTGTGCCCGACCTTTGCGAAAGTTGCTTAACAACTACAATCGCGGGCCATGGCGCTTATTCACTACGCCACCGAGCTACTCTGAACCGACCCACAGACTCGCGTAATATTATATGAGTGTTGTGACCTATGAATAAAGCATTGTTTCCAGCGAAGACTGAAAATACCAACTTTGAAGTACGTATCTACAGCAATTTGTATGTTAAAAAAAAACAAAAAGAGTATTAACATAAAAAATAGCAATAAGAGAAAAAATATATATATAACTCGAGTTGTCTTTACGTCCTTAACTTCAGTTGACGTGAATCTAAGTTTTTTAACGTCGTGGAAAAACTTCTGACATTGTCTCTGTTAGGTGCCAGGTGGCAAGCAACAGGGGTGAGTAGGATTCTCCTCCGTGAACCTGACAGTGAGCTGCCCGGTGGGTCCCCAGAGGCCTACCCACCAAAACCCGTACTCTACACCTTCTCATTGGAAATGAAAACCGGCAAGCTATGGCCGAGTCACCAGGACACTCAAGTATTGGACCCTTGCAGATGGAAAATTGGAGAGACTCGGGTAAATCGAGTGCCTCTCCCAGACAGACGAAACTGTGCAATGCGGGAGCGGCTGCCAATCACCTCCGCTGGCCCCGGCGACGACGTGAACCTAATCTGATAAAAATATGCGTTCACTGTAAACTACTCGAGGCTTAATTGCATCATCGGAAGGCTCTTTCCGCTTGTTCTCCTACTCGCGTGATCGTATACCACATGTCCATTATAAGCTGAACCCTATTTAATACGATTGGCCATATATAAATGAGGTCAACTTACTTCGGAATGTCAAAATTTTGGGTTCTTATTTTTTTATTTGTCATCATACAAATTATCATTTTATAGACAATATTAATTCGTAGTTCGGTGGCTCTACGGATATGCGCCGCTGCGCACGATCGCTATTGCTAAGCAATTTTAGCAAGAGTTGTTCACGGGATGGGTGACCAAAAATTATTAAACAAATGCCTGAGGCCCTGCAATTTGGCTGTGAAAGAGTTAATGATGATGATCAATATATCAAAGACGAAAATTTAATAAAACGGTAAATATTTCATAGCAATTTTGGCGACCACGTCACTTCAAATTGACATAACTTTTGTATTTGTGAACCGATTGAAATAAATCTTACACTTAATGTTAACGGAAGAATGCCGCAATATAATAGTGAAAACTGCATTTAAATCGGTTCAGCCATTTCTGAGATTATCGTGCACAAACGCACAGACAAACAGACAAACCGACAAACAGATAAACAGACAAAAAATTTAAAAATCATTGTTTTGTGTTCTATTACTCTTATAAATGTCCCTCATAACAGTTTTTTTCATATATCTTCAATGTACAGACATCGATCGGTTACGTTTTTATTATAGTATAGACGACTAGATTAATAATTATGACATTATTGTTTTATTTGTAATATTATTATTCTTGGAGAATATCTAATGTAGACCAAAATATGAATAAATATGATAAAAACATTCTAAGCAACTAACCAATGACTTGGCTATTTTAAATAAGTAAATAAACAGTATCACATAAATTATATTAATATATAACTTCTTAACAAACTGAAGCGTCTGCAGAACTTGGGTATCCGATTCATCTTCAATCTCCGCAAATATAACTATGTGTCACACTTCCGCTCACTATTCGCCGGGGCGCCGAGACCTAAATACTCTTACACTCCTATATTCTATCCTTTTTCTACCTACGACCCCTTCTTATCTAAAAAAATGCTTTTCCTTCCGAACCTCTTCACAGTGTACTCTACGCTCATCTTAATATGCCTCATGATACTTCCGACTTCTTATTCTACTCATTTTCCCTGCATGCGGTACGTCTTTGGAATTCGTTGCCTAAAGCTATAAAAAAGGCTCGCACCTTACATTGTTTTATTGAAAGGTAAAAACACACTTCCTGAAAAAGTGTTAATATGTTTATGTTTAATGACTTTTTATCTTTAACTATTTTTTTTTATTTATAATATAACATTATTCAGATTTATCTATTTACTTCTCTATTTTGCACCCCCTCTTTTATTTATACCCGGTGGAACAGAAAGACCGACACTCCCGAGGTTCTTGGAGAGTACTATTTATCATTAATAGGTACTCGTACCTATAATGTAAAATTTTATATGCTCTAGTAAAAAAGAAGATATAAAACTTATTTTTTTTATGTCTTCTAGGTCAAATAGTTTCGGAGATATTAAATTTCAAAGTTTAAAAAAAAATGAGTTTTTTCAACCCTGATTCAGATGTTTTTGGGACGTAATAAGGAAAAGTTATTAATCGGTCATTGACTTCTTCATTTCCAAAAATGAAATAACTAATTTGTGATTTATAAGACCACTTTCATGCAAATTCTACCAGACAATCAATAAACAAGACAGTCAAAATACTTAAACGATTTACAGACTTACATCCGGTATCTGATTCGAAAAAAGTAGAAAATCTCTACTTCTTATTCTCAATAACCTGAGTTTTTATAATTATACAAGTGAAATAGTCCTAGTTTTATCAAACTGATTTCAACTGATCATCAAATAACTGAAATCGGAAACGAAAACTAAGTGATGTTAGTTTGAGACGTTTAACTTTAAATTCTCAATTTAGAAACCGAGTGTAAAATTTTCAAAATTATTGTAGAGAGATCAGTCTAACATTAACCTATGTTACTTTAAACGAGCGGTTCTCCAAAAAAAATGTTTGAATGGGGTAATACTCTTTTAACAACGGGATCGTTAATTAAACTCGATAAACTCACAAATTGTTATTAAAATCGTATTTAAGTAATTGCATTTAAAAAGAACATTATTAAATGCGTGATATCAAAAGACGAATTTAAAAAATATGAACCGAGTTCGACCCTGGATAAAAGCCCCACCCGCCCGACAACCAACACCCCGCTTTATTGTTCTGTCGGGGATTCCCTTACTCAGTCGTATAAAATAATAGTACAACTCCTAACGGAGCTCAGTCGCCGCCGACCGTTTGCGCTGGAGTGTCGTTGCGCATCGCCGCCGACGTACCGCTGCGAAGCGCCTTTTAGTCGATTTTTGTTTTGTTCTAGTGCATTTTTAATTGATTCTTTGTTAATAAGATACTACAATGTCCGTCTTGAGTGTTAAGTGTTGTTTAGTAAAGATTTTGTAAACACAATCTTTACTAAACTAATCACATATATATGGGCAAAACACATCACATATTCACATAATTATGTGATGTGTTTTGCGCATACATGCACCGGTATGCAAAAGAGCGTGCTTAGCTCAGTCTTCAGAGAGGAAATGGACATTTTCAGCATCGTCTATCATCATGATATCGGTAAATAATTAAATTAAATTAATGTATTTCGCGGTCCGTTGTTATCTGCGCACAAACGATATTAGTTATGCGCGTTATAGGGCTCTCAACACATAGAAATTAAAAATTTTAACTCCATTTTTACACCTTCTTTATTTTGAAATATTTGTCAAATAAAATGATATTTGCATGTAACCTGACTTGAAACTTTTGATTTTGTCGGTCATTTTGTGGCTCCCCGTATAGTTTTTATTTTTCTTTCTTCATGTCTCAGGTTGCTTGGAAGAGATTGCTACGTAGCAATAAAGCCGCCCTTTGTATTCTGTCTCGTTTTTTCTAATTTCTCTGTAATATGTCCTGTCTAGCGTACAATAAAGAATATTATGATTATTATTATATAACATCATACTTTAGATTTTACTGGTTAATTTTATTTTTACAGAAAACTTACTTTATTGTTTGAATTTATGTCTCACATAGGTGTATTATCTATAGCTATTAACAAGTTTTCATATGCGTTTTAAGATCTGGTCCTATTGTCGCCCCTCTCCGATAATGTTAGTCCATCACTGCCTTCACACATCACTACAACATTTCAAAAAGAGATGGAGTACAATGTTGTAAATTAAATAAATAAAACAAAACAAATGTAGTAATAATAGAAATTATATCACTGCATTATTCGTATTCTGCAAACTATGCAACAAAGTTGGTTGCTAAAGATCGCTTTATAGAAATAGTGCTATTACTGAGTAAATTAAGTATTTAAGTAGCATGGTGGCGTAGTGGATATGCGCCGCGGCATGCGATCGTTGTCGCTAAGCAACTTTCGCAAGGGTCTGTCACGGGATGGGTGACCGAAAATTTATTATCTCGAGCTACTCCGTGCTTTGGAAGGCACGTCAAGCCGTTGGTCCCGGCTGCATTTGTAGTCGTTAATGCCCGCCAATCCGCATTGGGCCAGCGTGGAGGGTCATGGCCCATGCTCCTTAACCATCCATAAGGAACGCCTGAGCCCTTGCAGTGGGGACGAAATAAAGGGCTGATGATGATGATGAGTAAATTAATACCCGTGATTGCGTCGAATAAACGACAAGAACGAATCTAGTAGTCGTTTTGTCACTGATAAGTCGCTAGAAGGTGCCAGGAGATTCGAATTTGAAGTTTTTGAGATGTTCGCCGCTAAGTTAATATATTTTATAAATAAGTTAAATCCGAAATATCACGACGAACTTTGAGGGAAAACAAATTACGTCTGACACATCTATCCTTGTAATTCGAGTAATAAAGTACAGCTAGCTGTATCAATCAGTTAGTAAAAGAGTGTAATAATATTGATTTTTAATTTCAGATTTGCCCAAATGTAGGACAACGAATAACACACTAGTAAATTTAGTATTGACGAGGCGTGATAATCATAAAATTTTAACATGCGAATACAAAAATGGCTTCGATGTCTATAGTTTGAGTACTAAGATGGTCTTAGAGCCCGATGGTATGTACTTTAGATCTTAAGGTATGTATATGTGTAAGTAAGAAAAACGTTTTCGTTGTATGTTCACCAAAATTAACGAGAGTTCTATCAAACCAAATCCAAGGCAACATACAAAAATCTATTCCATATCCTATAATATGTACGTATTTAGATTTCCGTTAATCTACTTATATAATTTTCTTTACCTATTAGTTTTCGAACATATAGTTTAGGAGTTACGGGTAGGCTGATGGATAGTTATTGTCTTGGATAGTTTAATGTGCCACTTTTGATCAAATATCATATAAAAAAGTTCTACAAATTATTTTTTTAATTTAATATGTTGCATCATTGCAAATTTATAATACGCTTGGGTTTCCCGGGTACCACTCTCAACAGTTTTCTTGTTTGCGCATAACGCTTTTGCCCTGGGTCAAAAAAGAACAATACAAAAAAAAGTGCTTTCAAAAATTCTTCAGTCCTATTAGGTCTCGGGTAACTCAATGATTAGACCAATGTATGATAACGCGAATTATTTTATTTTCATTATGTATTATGTTTCAGAACCACCAACAATATTCTTTGAGAATGCAAATGGAAATTTGAACGTAACATCGAGTATTTTAAATTATAATGGTTTGCTTGACGAGACTTATAAGTTTATTTGTAATATGAATGAAAAAATAGGTGAATTAAGTTGGGAATTCTGCTTGAAAGACCAAAAAAAGTATAGAGGTATACTGGAAAAATATGGTAACATAAAATCAAGTTTCTACTCCTGTTAGATATATGTAACTGTAACTCGGAAATGAGATCGCCTAATTCTCTAGCCATAAACTTGCTATAGCATACGACATCTTGGCGTTGTTATAGCGATACTTCAACTAAGTTATTTTACGACTAATACTAGGGCCAGTTTTTTGATCCGTAGTCAAATGTCATTTCACCATTTATTAATTTAACTATAGTTAAAAGATTAACAGTTGTTTACCAGCTATTTCGTTTTTTGATGCCAAATTAAACCAAAGCCAAATTTAACCACTGGTTAATTTGTTGCCAGCACAATGAGTCGTTCTTTCGCTATACATTGACATGGGTAATTTTTTTCTGGGTGACAACACTAATGGCTTGAATGAACGGAGCGAACTATATACCATTTTTGACAATGGGATTTTGTTCCAAATATCAAATAGATAAAAGAAACCTATAGATTACCAGTGTGGATGTTTATGGTGGTTCTATTCTGTGCACTTTGTGTTATTTTTCAGGAAATACAAGGCAATTTCTTTAATAATGTAAGAAAGCAACAAACATCAAATTTTTCGAGTTATTTTAAACTTAACTTTTATACAAAAAGCATATATTTGTTTTTTATTTATCTTATAGAGAAATACGTGAAAAGAATATAGTATCCGAGGTGGGATTGTAATGTTGGAAAATAAATAGAGGAATATGTATTTTATATTCTGAAGGCATATTTACCTTTTGTATTGTTTATTCGTAGATTTTATGAGATTTTTAATAATTGAATAATTTGGCATATGCCTGTGGAAACAAGAAAATAAATTATTTTATAAAGTACAAATATACTAAGGATGATCAAGATAAAAAATATAACTTATTTTCAATAACCCTAAAACCCAAAAAGGACAACGAATATTTTCCTATGAAATTGCATCAAGTTATAAAAACAACTTAAAAAACAATAACATATGTTAAACTGCGTTGTATTCACTTGGGACCAAGTGAATATGTTCTTTTAATCATAGGTCATTTCTTTAACCTAGCTTCCAGTGATGGTTAAATTTTTTGACTAAAGGTTGGAATTCTGACAATTGTTTAGGTTAACTATTAATCAAAAACATATTTTTCTGATATTTAACGATTTGTCGAAGATTTTAACAAATGATTGAGTTAACTACGGTTCAAAAAACTGGCCCTAAGTTAGTAAACACTCATTATTTAAATATACAAATTATTAAATATTCAATTTAAATCATCATTCTTTATCATTCATTCGTCGTTATCAAATTAAATGTCAATGTAGCGAGATGAAAAAAAATATTGCCTTTACACCGATAAGATATTGTTCTGGCTTGCCCTTATTTCCGTTTCCTACCTATTCATTCTGAAGACTCGTAGTACCATCTCTGAAACACCGTGGAAACTATGCAGACGCGCGAAGCGACCGAGCGCCATCTCGATAAAGAAAAGAGAAGAAGTGTGACAGTAAAATCAAATAAAAACCGGTCTTTGAACGGGCGTTCTTTAAAGAAACGTGTGGCTCAAATAAATACATAAAACTAAACGTTAATTAAATTAAGTGAGTGCGCGAGGAGTCACCATCACAACAATGGGTGGCCGCTGCCAGCACATCAAGTAGGACCTTTCCCTCTCCTCTTTCCTCCCATCAATATAGCCATTACAAAATGGAGAATCCAGAAACTGGACGAAAACTAAATATATCTTTATTAGGTAAAAACGGACGTGTAAAATATTTTCTAAAAATACGAATCAGATGTCGTATCCCAAAATTATGGCTATAGACTAGGACTATTTCGCTGCACCGATGGTGTCAGAGAAGACATAATAAGCTCTTAGTTACTTGCAATTAAAATAATTAAACCTCCTTATACTGTTACAGATGACAAGTATTTTTCATGCCGAAAGCATAATTATACTTCAAATAAATGGGAAGAAATTACTATGAAACGTGAATATAACGAGAGTGAACTGAGATGTATTTTCAGAAATCCTTCGGGAGGAGAAAAGATAACGAAAATTATATTTCTAATTTCGACGGAGAAAGAAAAGAAAATAGGTAGAATATGGATTTAGAAGACTAATAATAATATTGTTTATTTTTATCTTTATTCTGTTTATTTTTTTAACACATAACACAAAAAAAATCCAAAGAAGCAAGAAAAGAAAATGTACAAAAGAGGAGGTAAAATAATATAGAGAGCAAGCGGGGAAAAGGTGGCAGACTTTTTTCAGTTATCAATAGTTATATTTTTATTAGGAACCACGACAAGTCGTTTTGGAAGCCACCAATAAAATTAAAATGTAATTAAGTTTAAGTTCCGAACGTAATATTTCATCTTACTAACACAATTAGCAATTAGGTATTAGACTCTGAGGATCGTGATTGCACGGATCACATTGTTCCGGGTTGTAGTCTTACAATAGAGATGATGCTTGGGTAAAAAACAAGAAATTCAATTTAGTCGCTACGTCACATCTATATGCGTAAATTTTCGGAGCCGATTTTTTTTGTTCCGACCGCGTATGGAAGGCATGCCGCTTCCATGCCATCGTGAATCTGGATGGATAACGGGTTGCTGACTTTATCTATCTACCGCGTTGGGCTACGGCCTTTAGCCCTCTTCCCGACCACAGATAATTATTTTTTCTAAATTGTCCCCTAACTCCCTGGCGGTGTATACTTTACTTACTTTTATATTACAACCATGGCTTTATTATCAGCCTCTAACACCTTTTTTCCTTGTACAGGTCTGAAATCGGACAATAATATAACATCACAATTGAATCTTTCATCAACTAAAGCCGGTGGTGAGTATCACCATTAATTTCAAACTATATAATACTCAGTATTTCTAAGTGAATGGCTACTTACGTAAACATTTACTTTTTTGCACACGCTTGCTGATCCGACTGCGTGAGTTGTTGCGGTGCAACCCGTTTTGCACAATTTACCTACATTATTCTAGTACCTACACTCAGATCGCTGACCAGAACAAGTATAGCATTCTCTCTGCTCCAAATGACTTTAAATATGATCAAGACAAATCAGGAGATAGCTTCATCTATTGACCTGAGAGAAAAAATAAGTTTGTCTGAAATTATTGCCTTTTTCAGAGATACATGTTGATCTCATCATTTGGACATTGGTGGGCACTGGGATTATCATCATAATCATTCTTATTATCATCATGATTAAAGTCTGTAGTTCCAAGAAGACAGGCATAACCAAGGTAAGAGATTACGTACATTGCCTAGATTTATAACTGAATAATTATTATGATGATCGACATGACGTCTGATATTAACTCCTATAGAATTCAGTTTCTAGCCCACAGGGACGCTGTCTATTTAATCGTTTTGTCAAAATCAAATTATCTTTCGAGGATCATTCCACCTTTATAATCATCACCTTAATAATATCCCTACTTCTGTTAGGAACAAAGACTTCACTATGGATATTATTCGCGGGCCCAGTAAAATTACATTCTCTTTGGCCCAATGGTGATTGGAGAGTGTTAAATAATGCAGATGCATCTTAGCCCAGTGGCTTTACATGCATGCTTGAGCTCGAGATCACTACATCGTAAAATAAACGCGCTACTTCGTACTCCTCAATGTCTTTTAAACGTCTCAAATAATTTGTTTTTAAAGTGTAAATTTCGTGACTAACGAAGTATAATGAAAATTTCCCACCACACCTCTTATTTACTTTATGTAACTTTGCTATATAAAGGAAAGTAACAATTATTAACTCAGTAAATTAATCTATATAAAATAATAGACCTTTTATGCTAGAATTCAATTATGAATCTATATGATCGTTATCGATATGGAGCCTTGTTGATCTACTTTGGTTTATATTACTTAAAATTTTTAGAAAATAGGTTAATTTTTTGATAAATAAAAGAAAATCAATTATGAAATCCTTCCAATGATTCCCGGATAGGGCTCTTTGGTCCTCTTGGGTTAGTGGATATATCGCTCACTGAATAGTACAGTGGCACAAATCAAAAACCATTATTTCGAAAAAACGCCACAACATTGTGGTGGCATCTCATAGATAATTTAAAGAGAAAATAAAAAACTTAACAGTATAACGATATAACTGTTATGCTAAAAAAATTGATTTTCATAATTATAAATATATTATATTCTCATAACTTCGGAGAGCGTTTCTCGAAATTATGGTTTTTGAGTTGTGCCACTATACTATTCAGTGAGTGATATAGTGGCTTTACTTAGCTGTAAGAAACTGGTCTAGCGCCGCAGGGAATTCCGTGGATCATAAACTATCTCGGTTTGGATAATTCTCAACCATCCATAGTAAAACAAAAGACACGGGTGTAGTCCCCTCAACCAATCTATGGTCTTGAGGAGATTAAACTGAAATTTACGAGAAACAAAATAGAGCAAAAACAAAATTCTAAACGAGGTTATAAATATTGAATTTGGGCAAGCCAAGGACAGACTACTACTATTAGCATGAGATATATTATCATAGTGATGATTATATCCAAAATATATGATTATGAAGATTGTTTTCTTAGATTTCCTTTAATTCTATTCCCATTTTAAGAAATTGGATATAATCAACATTCCTCAATATAAAATTTCATAAGGTGATGATGATAATAATACAAGAGATTATTCTATTTATAATAGTACAGAAAGTGGTTGATATGTAATAAGTGAAAGATTTCATGATCCATGAAAATGTAACGGACAAACGTTTTAGAACTCCCTGCTTTTGCAATTATCAATCTGGAAGTGTTCCGCAATTCGTTATGAATCAGACCAAATGCTAAACTTTTAAACATGAAAAAACAATGGAATTAACCTTCGTGAATTACAATCGAACTCCAATGATATTTTCTCTATACTATCTATTTTTCTACCTCTTTAATGATATGATTTATTTCTTATTTAGAACCAAGAAGACGTCACGTATGAGAATCTCTGTAATGAATCAGGTACTCCCACAACGTTCCCACGAAGTGCAAGATTAGAAGAAACTTACTTGAGACCATCGGACTGTCGAGAATCACCATATGCTAACCTAACAGCAGATAACGAAACATACGCCTTGCCATACGTAGAAAAGAATATTGAAAACCTTTATTCCAAGCCTGTTTCAAAATCAGAACGAGGCAAAGTCGCACACTCTAAAACAAGTTTGACAGCAGCAAAAAGAACAGAGCCTGTGTATGCTGAAATTGACGTAGATCCTAAAATTTTCAATAAAAATGTCAACACAGCAATTGAATACGCAACAGTCGTGACTCAATCTCAGGACTGACAAGTGATAATTAACAAGCAATACGAAGACCTCGATTGTAAAGCTATACACGTATTCTTAGTTCGTTAAGACTGCGACTGCGAAGAGTAAAACTGATTAAGTTCAATAACTAAGTTAATAAGTCAAGAGAAGCAAAACATCAATTGTTCGTGAAATCACATATTACCTCAAATTAATTATAATTAAAATTTATAATTGCTTGTTTTATAATTAAAATTTATAATTGCACCACAAAATTGAATGTCTTGGATATGTACGCTGATTTTTATCTAGAGCCAGGATAATATTACGAATGAAGTCAAACCACGCAATAGAAGTAGAATTTTCTTTTATAAATCCACATTCTTCTTATATTATTAAGTTGAACATTGAATAAAAGCTCACTTATCTTTTTTTTCATATCTTTCTCGAATATTTTTTATATTACAGGTTTTAATATAACCGTGCGATAGTCCTCCACTGCATGTTTTCTTTTTTTATAGATGGATGTTGGATGTTTGACAATCAAGAATTTGAAAGCGTCGGGAAGCACCTAGATTCGAATGATAAACTTATAAAAAACGTTAAGATATGTGTTAACTCATATTTACAGAATTTTAATACTTTCCTTGAAATATTATCAAACCCATAAGGATATAAGTTATTCCAACACTGCATTATGTTAACTAGTTCCCCTTCCGGTACCAGCTCCAGAATAATCGATTTAGAGTTGTGATCAACAATGTGTTTGTTGTTTTATCACTATCATATTTGAAACCATCACCAGTCAAAGTTATGTAGTAATCGTTGAATGTCTCAGCCAATATTACATTTGGAATTTCCGATTTTGACTGCACTGGAGAAACTTGTTATTACAATTCGTTTGACCTGTTGATATGCATTTTTGAACATACGTGAGTATCGATTATAAGCCTACTTATTATAACTAATTTTATATTTTAATATTTATTTCAACGCCATCTTTTCACTTTTAAGCTCTTGGAAATCCACTTTAGTTTTGTAATTTTATTGCTAATTTTTATTTTTGGAAAACAAGATTTGTGAACACGCAAAAAAGTGAAAAGCTCATAGAAAACTTTAAATGCCTCATTTATGTTCGATTCTGAGTATGATAATAATTGCAAGACTTCTCGAAACCTTATGAGGGTTACAATAATCTCTCCTATAAGCAGCCCAACATCTCTCTCTTTTTTTCATTTTTAACAGAAAATTAGAACATGTTTAGAATAATATTGTGCTAAGATAGTGACGGTTCTTGAAACTTTTGACGTATTATTTGCAGTTGCTTATTAAATAATTTAGTGTTTAAGTGTTTACTATCTAATATATTCATTACAATAATAATTGTACGCTGTAACGATAAAACTGTATTTAAATTTCGAGGGCCGCAACGAATAAACGTGCAAGAGCTGTTACACATTTTTTTTGTGTCATTATATGTAAAACGGCTTTATGCATCACCACAATTTTATTTGTATCATTTTCCTAAATATCTTTAAAATTGTAGTCAAATAACTGTTTCTTGTAGGGAATTATCAATTTAATTCGTAACCCAAATATAGGTATAACATATATAATTATACCAGTATCAAGCTTACCAGTTATCACACGAATAAGCGTACACAATATGTTGGAAGCTATTGAAAGAAGTATAATAGACCACATTTATCTTTTTGACAGAGTAGAATCACACTATGTACGAAAAGATAGTCAGAAGGGATACCTAAATGAAACTTTAAACATATCTAAAATGTATAGACTATTTTTAGAGTGAATTCAATCGCAAGAACATCGAGACGTGCTCAGTGCGACTGAAAGACAGTAAGAACACATACTTAATACTAAGTTGATCTTTCATTTTATAAACCCAAGAAAGATCAATATGATCAATATCTAATCTACAAAATCGCTGATGACATTCGAAAGGAAGACTTAAGAACTGATAAAGAAAAACATAATAAAGAAAAAAAAAATAGTAAGGAGCTCCCTTACTATTTTTTTTTTCCCTTAAAAGAAAAAGAGTTTTGATGAAAATAATAATATTGTAGCTTGTTTTGATCTGGAAAAGTTTTATTCTACAGAATGAAGTAGGAATATTTTACTATAAGCAAATTCAAATTCATTTATTTTGATACAGACATAAGACACAGTACATGTTGTAAATAAAAATATGATAGTACACAACAATAGACAATAAAATACAATAACACATTAAAAATTTAATTAAATCAATAATCCATGACTGTACCAAAAAGGGTGATTAGTTCAGCATTTGTCAGCTAAGGCTGACACTGATTTTCAACTAGTGCCCTCTTTTGACCTATATAAGCGTTCACCATGGCTCCTACTCTCCGAAATGTCTCCTTGGAATATACCGACCGCCTTCAGTTATTGGGAGTAGAGATATCCTCTAACCTTAACTTTGGGCGGTTCATTGAAAGCTAAAACGGCAGCTAGAAAGCTAAGTATCCTAGCGAAGGTCCGGCGGTACTTCACACCAGAACAGCTTTTGATTTTGTAGAAAGCGCAGGTTCGGTCGTATGTGGAGTACTGCTGCCACAATTTTGCTGGTGCTGCAAAATGCCACTTTTCAGCATTGTCTAAATGGAGAGGCGAACGAGAAGGCTTATTGGTGACCCAAAATTGGTTGAAACCAATCTGCATAGCCTTCAGCACAGGCGCAGAGTTGGTAGCCTCTCGGTGTTCTTCAGGATATATTTTGGAGAGTGTGCGCAGGAATTGCATGATCTAATTCCCCCCTCCTCGTTCTACCATCGAACGTCTCGACGCACGACCGTTATCCATCCTTTCGTCGTCAACATCTCTCCGGTAAGAACAGCACGATTTGATTCGGCATTCATAATACCTACCGCCAAGGACTGGAATAAATTGCCAGCGTCTGTATTTCCGTCCGATTATAATGTGAATATCTTCAAATCAAGAGTGAATAGGCTGTTACTAGGTTAATGCGCTATACTACCCAAGGCCAAAAAAATTTAAGCATATATATATATATATAATTATATATATAAGCGTTAATATCCTCTTTATATATATATATATATATATATACATATGCTTAAATTTTTTTTTGTTATACTTTATAGGTTAACGCTTGACTACGATCCCACCTGATGGTAAGTGATGATGAAGCTTTCCATCCAAAGGTTGGTGGAAGAAATCGCTTTAGGCGATAAGGCCGCCAATTGTTTGCATTTCAATTAAGTTTAATTTATGTTTGTTTCTGTAAATAGTGTAATGTCAACAATAAAGAGTTATCTATTTACTTTTTACACGAATAAGCGTGCAAAGTAGAACTAGAATATAAAAATAAAATGGTTCTTTGCAAATTCTACTTTTCTTATAATAAAGACTTATATCAAAAAGTAAATATCTTGTGAAGGTTACCATATCTTGTGAAGGTTATGAGATATAAAAAAATATATTTCCTGTAAAGTTTTCATTTTTCTCTTGCACGTTTATTCTGTGCGACAGTCGACTTATTTCTTAAGAATCACCATTTCTCCGAAATGGCGATGCAAAAAGTTGAAAATGTTATGTTCTTCTATGTATGCTAATAATCTTTTTCGTGGCATACACATACATATTACTCGTATATAATTCTAAGAATATAAACTTGCAAAAGTTACTTACAGCTCGGGGGGGGGGGTAAAACTACAGTTTTGAAATCATTTGAGAAAAAAGATTTATTTGATTGTGTGAAGTTTTTTTAAAAAAAAGTACCTCTATTACACATGATAAAACTTGCTGTTTTTTTTGCAAACGTCAGATGATGGAGACTTTTGAAAAATTGTTTTTAATGTCGTTCCCAACACTAATGCCAATTTTTGCTACCGTGTAGGTACCTTATATTTTATGATTTCTCGAAATTTCGACGTCATTGCAAGCGCCATAATCACGGAGTAACTGAAGATTAAGCGGATGAGTGTCATAGCCAGACATTTTCTACACGCTTTCGAGTTCTTTTAAGTACGAACGAAGCAGGAAGCAATCAATAGCCTAATAATAAAAATAGCCTACTTTATCTAGTTTAATTTAACTCGAATCATATGCGTTCAGGAAAGAAAACATAAATAAATGAATTGTCATTTAAATTAGTTCTTTATTTATTTTTTATGATTCAATAACATCTTCCGTACAAACTCTGAATTTAAATATACTGGATTTTCATATGAAACTCGTTCTGCTGCCTCATCTTGTTTCACGAGAGGTTGTACAGTTTTCACCAGCCTACTGCGGTACACGTAGATACCAATAGCCAAGACAGAGATAATAGCCAGGACGGATACAGTGCCTGCTAACGGAATGATCCACTGAGCTAAAATCACAAAAAGTTGTTAAAGTCAAAATGTGTTAGTAAGTAAGTTTGTATGTGGTCTAAAGGTAACAAAGATCTTAGTAATATTTATTGAAATTTATTTACATGTATTGTTTTTACAGAAAATCAGAGTGATATTTTATATTATGCATCTCTTCTAATGTCAATCAGATTTTACTTTTTTATACAAAATTACCAAACAAAAGCCAATGTCTTAAAAATATTGCTCAAAAAATTCACAATAATTACTCGATCCTGTTATAAATTATAACCAACAATAGAAAAATTGTATGAAATAAAAATATTAAATTCATTAAGTCAATAGGTCAGCCGTATTGCTGAAAGAAGATAAATCAATTATCCAGCGAAAACAAGCAAAATAATCAAGCTTGTTGCTGGTTGTTGTAGAAACGGTAACAGAAATACATCATTTCACCCTTTGGGTACAAAACCCTGAAAAGATACTTTGACCTTACAATTTTACAGTACATTGATTTTGAAATATACAACTTACGTTTCATAATGATGTTGATGACACAGTTTTCGGTTATTAGATCTGAGTTTTCGCTTATAAATTGAAAGGTACAATAATACGCACCGGCTGATTTGCTCGTGGTTTCAATGAACTGAAAAAATAAAACTATTTAAAATATCATGTTGA